GTGATGGTGATCGTGATGGTGATGATGATGATAATGATGATGATGATGATGATGATGATGATGATGGTGATGATGATGATGATGACGATGATGTCGATGACGATGACGATGACTATGCTGATGATGATGAGGAGGAGGAGGATGCCGAGGATGCTGATGATGATGCTGATGAAGGTGGTGATGAAGATAACGATGGTGATTATGGGGGGTGATGATGATAATGACGGTGATGTCGATGGCGATGGTGATGGTGATGATGATGATGAGCATGATGATGATGATGATGAACATGATGAACATGATGATGGACATGATGATGAACATGATGATGAGCATGATGATGATGATGTTGATGTTGATGTGGATGTGGATGATGATGATGATGATGATGATTATGATGATGATGATGAATGATGATGATGATGATGATGATGATGATGATGATGGTGGTGATGGTGATGGTGATGGTGATGATGATGATGATGATGATGATGATGATGATGATGATGGTGGTGGTGGTGGTGGTGGTTGTGGTGGTGGTGGTGGTGTTGATGATGATGATGATGAAGATGATGTGCGGTGGTGTTGGTGTTGGTGGTGATGATGAAGAGGATGATGATGATGATGATTGAGGATGGAGGATGATGTTGATTTGGATGATGATGATTGGGGATGATGATGAAGATGATGATGATGATGATGAGGAGGAGAGGAGGACGAGGAGGAGGAGGAGGAGGAGGAGGACGAGAGGAGGGAGGAGGAGGGGAGGGGGGAGGGGGAGGGGGAGGGGGAGGGGGGGGGGGAAGGGGAGGGGATGGAGGATGGAGGATGGAGGCATGGAGGGAGGGAGGGAGGGAGGGAGGGAAAAGGGGGGGGAGGGAGGGAGGAGTGGGGAGGGTAGGGAGGGAGGGAACAACAGAGGGGGGAGGGGGGTCGGTGGGAGGAGGGGAGAGGGTAGGAGAGCGGGGGGTGGTTTTGGGGGGGATGGGCGAGGGAGGAGTAGGGTAGGGAGGGAGGAGGGAAGGAGGGAGGAGGAGGTGAGGAGGAGTTAGGAGGAGTGAGGAGGAGGAGGGAAGGAGGAGGTGGAGGAGCGGAGGGTGAGGAGGAGGAGGACGAGGACGAGGAGGAGGAGGAGGAGGAGGAGGAGGAGGAGAGACCCAGGCATCCCAGCGATTAGCTCAGCAAGCGTAGCGACGATATGCTTCACCCTGCCCTGGGCCTGCGGAGGCGTGCGTGTCGGGCCCTGGGGCCATCAATTATCGACCCGCGGCAGCGGGACAGTCCCTGGGCATCCTGTCGGCGGCCCTGGAGCCCGCGCTTTGGGAAAGCCACGCCGGAGGAAGGAGGGGTAGCAGGAGGATGAGGAGGAGGAGGAGGAGCAGGAGTAGGAGGATCCTCCCAACTTGCACTGCCGCGGATTGGCTTACTCGACTCCCCGCCCGACGGGGCCCGCGTGGTGGTGGGGGCCGACGGTGACGAACACCAGGGCATGTTTACGGTGCCGTCGAACACGTACGCGGCCACGAGCTCCGCGACGTTAAGCACCACCACCACCACCAAGACAACCACCGAGACAACCACCACCACCACGACAACCACTGAGACAACCACCGAGACGACCGCCGAGACGACCGCCAAGACGGCCACGACGACCACCGATAGAGGCACGAGTTCCGCCACGTCAAGCATCACGGCCACCGCCGAGCTGGTGCCAACCGCGACGTCTGTGCTGGTGAGTCCAGTACTGGCAGGAGCACAGGAGTTGGTGGTGGAGTCCGAGGAGGGCTTCTCTGTAGGGGACACCGTCGTGATCACTGGTGGCGGCCTTTCGGAGACATGTGTCATTGCGAGCTTCGGATCCACTGTGCTTGATTCACCATTGGACTACGGATACCCAGCAGGTTCCAGCATCACCACGTTTGGCGGTGATCATTCGAGCAATGCGCCATCGGCGAAGGAGCAGCAATATTCCGGGAGATCAATTACAGTCTTCGCTGGTGTCGTGATCTTCCTTCTGGCCTGCGGCGTCGCGCTGGGCTGCCTGATGAGGCGCGGATGTCCTGGCCGTGGCAGGGGTCCAAAGCCCGAGCGCAGCACGCAGGAAGCGGATGTTGATGAGCACGAGCCGGATCACCGTATTTGGCACGACGCGGAGGTTGAGGCCGACGTGTCGGAGCAGGACGCAGAGATTCATCAGCACGAGTGTTTACATGTATGTTCCCGTTTCCCAGCAGCTGCGGCTCGCTGGAGCGGCCGTCGGTCCGTTACTTTCTCGGCCCCCCGCTCCTCATCTTAGCAGGCGGGCGACTGGTCCTCGCGGTGAGGTCTTTGCTGTGAGCGTCGAGCCCAAAACATCCGCTCGTGCGCTTTCCTCCGTCCCCCCCGCCGCCCTCCTGCAGTGCAGGTGGAGACGTCAGGTCCCGGGCCCTGCGCTTCCCTGTGCGCTCAGAGTTCAAGGTCGCTCGAGCGTTCGCCGTGCGACTTCCTCATCTCAGGAGGG